GTGCCTGGTGGTACAGACAGAAAGACCAGACAGCCTAAGCAAAGGGTTTGTGCTTGGTGTGGACTTCGGGCAGGCAGTACTCCAACCCAGCTGCCCCAACACGTGACTGGCCTTGTACCTGACACCTGGTAGTGGCTGTACCTGAAGCTTTGCTCCTGAATGGTTGAATGTATGGTTTGGGGCTGGGGAAAGGACCCTGAAAGTCATTTGCTCATCATGTTGGACCAGAGGAGACAGCAGTGTGTATAGCAAACAGCACCCTTTATTCACAGCCCACCTTTGGTACTGTTTTGCCTGTGTGTTAAACGCAAACCCAAACCTCTGTAGCTACTTGGTTGTGCTTCTCCTGCATCTTAATCTCATAAACAGTTCAGGCACCATTCTCCTCTGGAGTAGGGACTGGCTTGTATAGGCTGCAAAAGTTGGTGCATGAAACCTTCAGAGGAAGAGGGACTCCACTTGCAAGAAACCAGGAAGAGTCCTGCACCTCTTCCTCTTCCTGCAGCTTGCCTTTTCCCAGCCTGGTCTGCAGGGTGTAGCCTCTGAGCATGGGGAGCTGTCAGAGGACAGGAGCACAGAGTTGTAGGGAAGCTGATGAGCAGCCACTATACCAAGGCACACGAACCCAGCTCTGAGTGCTGCCCAGGCTGTTCCCTGCAGTGCCCCTGGTTGCTGCAAGGGAAAGCAAGTGCGTAGTCACTGCCTCATCTTTTTGTTTTGGGTTTCTTTTAGGTAGCTGAAAATTACTTCTACGTGCCAGATCTGGGCCAGGTCCCAGAGATTGATGTGCCATCCTACCTGCCAGACCTGCCTGGCATTGCTGCAGACCTCATGTACAGTGCTGACCTGGGCCCAGGCATCGCACCGTCTGCCCCAAGCAGTGCTATTCCAGAGCTGCCCACTTTCAACACTGAGTCAGTGGAGCCTTTGCAACCAGGTATTTCCAATCCCTGATCCCAGGAACCTGGGATGGAGGAAGGCAAGGATTGTTAGAAGGAAGGCAGAAAGTCCCTTGGTGGACATTTTAAGATGGATATTGGAGATACCTCTGGCTTGTGCTTGAGCCTGAGTCAAAGCTGCGCCCTGCTCAAGTGCTGGCCAGACTCTGGGCCCTTTACCTCCCTCACCCTCTGCATGGCTAGGGAGGAGGGAGCACGGTGTGCAAGGGACTGGCCTTGGGGCAGCCTGATGGGATGCCCTTTGTGCAAGTGGGATGCAGCTGGGGAGGGCTGAGCAGGGGAATCTCAAACTCTGCCTCGGTCCTGCCTGCTGTTAAGAGCTGCTGCACAGGGTGGGAGTGCTCTGCTGCACGGTGCCGCTGAGGCATCTGAAGCTCTGAGCTGAAGCTCTGAGTGTGCTGTCCTCTGAGACACTTCAGATGCAACTTCTTTCATCTTTCAGACCTTCAAGATGCTGAGCTATTGCCGCCTCCTCCACCACCACCTCCCCCACCGCCTCCTGTTATGCCAACTACTGTGCCTCCTCCGCCACCCTTGCCCCAGCCCACAGCCCCCTCTGAGCCAGCGCGGACAGCAAGCGAGGAGAGCAGCAATGCAGTGCCTGCAGGTAAGGGCTGGGCACCTCACACCTTCACCAGCAGATTCTAACTCTGACTCCTTGGCTCCAGCCTGTGTCTTTGGTTGGCTCCCTGTGGCTTCCCAGCCTTCCAATAGAGGAGGGAAGCTGCAGTGAGAGGGGAAGCAGCTCCTGCCTGCCCGGGAGTTGCGCGCCTTCAGTTCCCAGTTGGTGGGGCTACTGCTGGCTGGGCTGAATGTTCGCCCATCACTGAGAGGTGTCTGGGCCAGGCTTGCTGCCCCAGGCAGAAGCTGGTGGGGTATTGGAGCAGCCTTTTCCATGGGGATTTAGCTGGGCCTGTGGCTGGGGGACTGACCCACAGCTGCTGCCTGTCCTTCCTGTCCCTGCAGCTTCACTCCAGGGAGCCCCGAAGGAGGTGGTGAACCCCTCGACTGGGCGTGCCAGTCTCCTGGAGTCCATCCGGCAGGCTGGTGGCATTGGGAAGGCTAACCTGCGCAGCGTCAAGGAGAGGAAGCTGGAGAAGAAGAAGCAGAAGGAACAAGAACAAGGTGCTGAGGCTCTTTGGCAGATCAGATCTTTCTTGCTTTCTGCCTGGGGGCTGGGGAGGTGTAGCTCTGGGGGGAGATGGGCAAGCCAGGAGCACAGTGATCATGCAGAGGGGAAAGGCATTGTCTCTCCTCACAGGCTGGTATGGGGCTCAAGTGTTTCCCATTCAGCCAAAGCTCTGTTAAGTTGCTAAACTCTGTCTGCCAGAAGGGGATTCGTGTTCTTGATGGAGACCCACTCTGTCACAGGACATGTGAGGAGGTTTCACGTGTGCTGCATGGGGACAGACACACAAAGGAAACCCTGGGGCGAAGAGGGGCAGGGCCTAGCCAGTTGAGCACATTGGTTTATGTAGCTGGGAGGATATTGATGGAGCTGGTTTGGCAGAATGAGACTGCAAATGCCCAGCCTCTCTTGCTCCTCAAGGAATTCCACTTGGGTTTTCCCAGAAGATGCTGTTACGCTGCAGTACAGGTATTTTTCAGACCTGAAACTATAGTGGAAGAGATTGGGGTAGAAGAGGGGGAATACAAGATTAGAGGCTTGGCAGGTTTTTTTTTCTTTAATCTGAAGGCAGTATTGCAGGAAAATGCTTTCACCATAGTTCTAGGTTCAGGCTGACGCTGCTTCTTGTCTGACTTATGGGGTTTTGCTTTGTTTCAGTGAGAGCTACAGGACAAGGTGGAGATTTGATGTCAGACCTCTTCAACAAACTGGTGCTGAGGCGCAAAGGTACTGTCCTGCAGGGTGGGCTGCTCCCTTCTCCTAGGAAAGAGGGAGAGCCCCTTCCAGCTCCTCAGCTGTCAGCCACAGCCCTAGAAATAGCAACAGGGTCACTTTCCCCAGCGAGTGTGCCAGTGTGGCTGGGAGGGTCTGGAGAGTGAGCAGGGGAATCTCCACCTCAGATCCAGCTGGAGGACGTTGTGCATCTGATGCAGTGGTTGGACTCTGAAAGCTGCCTATAAGGGAGGGACAGAGGTGCCTTTTTCTAAATTCAGTGCTGGGGCAGCTGGGCCCCTCACCCATGGATGCACATGAGGATGAGATGCCTCAAGGCTTTGGCAGGTACTCTGGGCATTTAGGACCAGTGTCACCCCTCAGCACCTGGCACAGGTGGTGAAATGAGCCCTTCTGCAGGGCTGTTGTGCTTGCTGGAGGCACTTGGGTGCTGCTGTTTTTCCCCTCCCCTTTGCTGAGCCTCCATGTTTAGTCCCCAGCTGTTACTCACTGGTGCTTTTCCTTCCCTCACAGGTATTTCAGGGAAAGGACCAGGAGCCTCTGGAAATCCCGATGCTCCTGGAAGTTCTGCTGGTGCCTTTGCTCGTATGTCAGACTCAATACCACCCCTCCCACCCCCCCAGCAGCCCACGGGTGAGGAGGATGAGGATGACTGGGAGTCATAAATAGGGTCAGTTGAGTGTCAGTGTGAATCCCAGGACTCTTGAACTAAGCACCTTTGAGACACCAGCCTTTGGAAGCACCTCCTGGAGGGTGGGCATGGGCATGGCAGGGGAACCCCATCATTGGTTTTCGAAGAAGAGCAGGAGCAACAGGAGCTAACTGCTGGTGAGGATATAGCCATCAGTGAGGGTTATATTCTGCTGTCTGCTCTTCTTCACCCTAAATACTACATTCCATCTCAAATGCTGCTGCTGCTCATGCTGGCGCAATAAATCCTGCCTTAGCTGGCAGGCAGGGGGGCAGTCTGTGCTCAGAGGATCAGAACGAGCATTGCTTCTGATTTAAAGGGCCCTCAGTCTTTCCTAATGTGACTGGTGATGACTGCAGAAGTATCTCTTGCAGGCACACAGCCCTTGCCTCATTTGTCTCCTTGCTGCTTGCTTGCTCCTGTGTGCTTGGTTGGTACTAGAAGAGAGAATGAGTGTCTGTCCCTTCATGGAGGTTTAATTCCTGGTGCCTCTGCCCACCATGGTTTCTTTCTCTACCTGGCTTATGGTAATTCTTTGCAATCAATAAAGTTGGAGGAGTCTTTGCTCTAGCAAAAGAGGGAAGTGCACTCAATTAAGCATCTCAAGGGAAAGCCCAGCTGTCCACTATGATCTTAGGCAAGGGCAAGCCTTACAGCCCAGCACCACCAGCCAGGGCTGGAGGGCACCAGCTGTTACTCCCACTGGAGCCTGCATGGGAGTTAAGGCAGAACTTGCTCCAGACAGTGGGGTCTGTACCCACTGAAGGGGCAGGAGACTCGCCACAGAAGTTTCTCAAAGCAGCTGTTTCTTTCCCTTTGGGGCTAATTTAACATCTAGGGAGTGGAGAGTAGTTCTGTGTCTAATTAGAAGTGTTTTCTTCATTATGAAGAGCCTTAAGAGGCAGTGTCCAGCTGCTGCAAGGAGGCAAAAGAAGCTTCTGGGAAGAGACAGGCTCAGGATGACAGAGCTGGGGACAGCTGTGGAATTACATAGCCATCTGTGGTGTTATTGCTGCCCTCCAGCACTGACCCACGACCTAGGAAAGAACCCCACACTAAAAAAACAAGTGTTACTATTTTCCACAGAAAGTTTCTTTGAATTCAGAAACCCAGGCAGTAAAAAGAACAGAGCAATCCTGTGCTTAAGCCTGATCAAAGAGAAGTGCTTTGCTGTATTACAGCCATATCTTTATTCCCCTTGAAAGAATGAACTGCTTCTTGAAGCTATTGACTGTGTGAAGCAAGGTAGAAAGAAAGGGATAAGAAATGTTACCCGCAGCTGCCAGTCCCGCCAGTCTGTGTAATTTCAACATGACACATGTTGAATGGCCTGTGAGTTTACAATTCTTGTGAAAAGCTGTATGTTTCCATTGGTCATCAAGACCCCTATATTCAATGTGAAAAGGCAGACACCTTCAGTCAAAATAATTATACTCCCCATAATGGAATGTTTGGGTTGAAAATATTTAATCTATTTAAATAAAACCTTAACAGCTATAAACAAACAGGAGCCTGCCACTACTACCTTCACATGCCTCAGACCTACAACCACTTTCCCTCCTGGTTATGGTGCTGAAGGCTGTCTCACCATAATAGTGCTCAGATACTGAACAGCAATATCCACAAAGGAAGCAGAAGGCAGAGATTAATAAACTCCTTAGTGCAGAAAAGCAGGAACTTGTGTTGTTTTGGGTGTTCTTCAGAGGTACAGCTCTTAGAGGTGACCTACAGCCTCTTCTCTGGTCTGCATCACAGTGTCTGACTTCCCTCGATGGAACTAGGAACACACAAAACCAGACAGTTTGTCCCTGGCCTTACTCTAATGTGAAGGTTTGAGAAAAGTACAGATGAGTACAGTGAGAAACAGTTTTGGTAGCGGTACATGATACATGTTCTGACCTTTCTTAACTCTGCAAACGCTGATCCAAAGGCAGGTTTCACCTGGATTCTCTCCCTGATCCACTGCGGCAGTTTGTTAAAGATGGCAGGGCGTGCGTACCTGTGGTCCAGGAGCAGGATGCTTGCAAAGTCCTTCTGATGGCGAATGGCTCTGCCTGGACAGAGTGTACAACCACATTAAACTGGCCCAAGTGTTTGTTCTCAGGCAAGGATGCTCATGTTCCCGTCATCTGTACTTAGACCGATTGGTAATGCATCCTTTCTCCCACCCTCCTACTTCAGTGCAGTCACATTTCGTATCCCCCAACCTGTCCAAGGAAGGATGAATTACCTATTGACTGGTTTACTGCCTTCATGCACAGGTTTTCAATCAGCACTCTGCTAGGTGCCTGGCCAGCAGCTCTGGGCTGGAAAGGAGAAATAGGTAAGACCGAACATAAGGCAGATGTAAATCAAAATAGGGAGTCTTAATGACAAAGCTTTTACCCCTGCAGAGTGAGTGGGTGGCCAAGCAGACCCCAAGCTGAGACTAAGGAGGGACAGAAGAAAGGCTGCAGTCAGAAAACAATGCTGAGCATTCACAAAGAGCCAGCCCAAGTTCCCCCTGAAGGCAGAAAACATGTCCCCAGCTGCCCAGGAACAGCATCTTCAGTGGGCAGTGGGAAAGAACAAGTGAGCCAAGAGGAGTAGTGATCCTGGTAAGCAGCTTATAGCACCCTGCCACCTCCTCTGAGGTGAAGGGAGCCTCAGTGGCATTTCCCTCCACTGAGCTGTTTAGGGCCACCTGTACACATGCAGCATGGAGAGGGCCATGCCCTCAGAACCATACACACTGGAAAACAAGGGCAAGCTCAAAGAAAACAAATCCTTGAAGGCAGCCCTGGGACTCATGTGCTGGGAGGAAAGTTAGTACTAAAAAGCCAGAGTGAAAGAGGCAGAGGTGTAAGTGTCTCTGTTACCATTGTTTTGTCAAGCCAAGTCATTTTTTCCTGGAGCTCTGGAGATTTAATGTTGGGGTAAGGCATTCCCACCATAATCACACACCTGCAAAGGAGGACTGCATTATTCTTAATGTCTCATCCTAGAGCACTTTGCCAGTAGACTGATAAATTAGAGGTCACTGCACCCCTGAAAGACAGCCAGCCCTGAAAACCAAAGGCAGCAATAAAGCACAGTGGTCTGACAAGCACGTTCTGAACGGGAAGCTGCAGAGGGATTCAGGGTGCCAGAACAAGCGATTATCTAGTGCAGCAAGCTTAACAGCATTACTCGCACAAAAAGTACTCTGGACAAGGTTTTACACCACCCAGCAGACCTGGACCCGTTAGTTTAAACATCAGCCCAAGCCATGTGCCCCCCAGGATTTTGGGGAGCAAGTACTGATGTGTCCATCCTGCCTGGAGTCCCTGCACCACAATCCCAGTGTTCACCTTCCAAGGAGCAGCCCCCCTTACCTTCCCAGGTCATCGGAGAAGTTGATGCCTTCGCTCATTTTGCCTCCAACTACAGAAAGAAGCAGGGCCCCTGTCATCTGTCCTCCAGCCTGGCTGCAGCGCTGCAGGAGAGGGACCAGCGACTTAAACCAGAGCAGGGAAGATTTCTGTGCTTCAGGAACACTCCCACACCTGGGCTAGAGCCCCCTTTCCTTGTTTTAGGCTGCAAGGCCCTCTTTAGCAGCACTCCCATACGCAGTTGGGGTGCCACACTTCCAGCAGCTCAGCTTACCTTTATGCACTTGGCATACTCCAGCAGCACCTGCTCCACCTGGTTGGCTTTCTTCGGCTCCTGAAAGATCTGTTGCAGGCAGTGCATCAGTTGTAGCAAAAGGAAGCAAGCAGTTTAAAGAAAGCAAATCATTTTACTCTCACACCATTTAACAGCACTTGGAACTAACATCAGGGAAGGGCAAATTGCCTGAAAACCCAACTTAAACCAGCACCTTTCCCCTTTAAGAAACAGACTTAGACGTCTAATTCTGCAAGCAGTTACGAGTCATCTGTGAGCTGAAAGACAGGAAAGCAATGAGCAGCTCTTCCATCTATGACCAAAAATCCAGTGGAGTGAGGAGATGCTCCAGTTGCAAGATCTTGGAGGACAGTGACAGGACCAATCAATCCGAATCGCCGATTAATTCCAAGTAATAGCTCCCTTTGCCCAGTGAATAAGTTAGTTTTCTATGCAAAGCATACATGAAATAATATTTCTTTATGTTATTCTAGCATGCCTAATTAGTTACTTGAAAGCCCTTGCAGTTAATTGAGCTCTGCTTTAATAGATGGAGCACCTTGGCCTAAACCACAAGTTATTTTCCCAGTAAACAAGATGTGTAACATCTGTCTTTCCTGTGACAGTAAAGAACCCAAAGGATGTGTTTTCTCTTGGTCAGCAAGAAGTACTATCAAATTAATTTTCCCTGTGTAATTTATATATAGTCTCACTGTGATTTCCCACCACAGCCACCTCAGGAAAGACGTTAACCTTCCTCTGCTATGATATGATCTTCTGTGTGGGCAGCTGAAAGTCACAACTGCTGCCCTTCTACCAAATTGCTTTGCTTATGCATATCCAATTTGCTAGAGACTGCAAAGGCCAAACAAGATCAAATCAGAGTTGAAAAGCAGAGCAAGCTGCCCGATCGTGCCACAAAGCCTTGGAGGCAACCAGGCAGAGGGCTGGGACCCCAGAACACACCTGAGAGGCACTGCGAGTGGCGGCTGTACAAACACACAGAGCAGTTGAAGCACAGTGCTTCCACCACAAAAACCTACAGGCAGATCCATGTGCCAGAACGCCTGCATGAAGGCTGGAAAATATCTGGGACTGCTCTCCTAATCTGCATGGTTATTCAGCTTTTAGTAAGAAGAAATCACAGCCAGGGTATATGTAGTTCTTCCCCTACCCCCACTGCCCGCACATGATCCAAGACCCCTGCCCTACACTCTAAGACACTCGGACTGCCTGACCTTCAATACCCAACCTGTGAGAGTCATTGCAAAGACCTCATGTTTGCAGTCATCTCCCCATTCAATGTTCCTCATCGCTCCTCCAACAGGAGTAACCACTGCTACAGTCTTTCAGTTCTCCACTCTGCATTTCCACCAGAACACCACCATT